TGGCGTCATGTAGGGTCTACATCATTCGGACAAATAAAAATCGTCTCATTTCCTAAGCGGATTGAGCAAAAAGGATCCAAGCTGTTTGTTTGCCACACACATGGTCTGACCAATCAGTATGAAGTGCAGACACTGAAGGAGCAATTCACCAACTGGAAGCAGGGAATCCAATGGTGAATGATTTTCACGGGTAAGCTCGTTTTACCGCAAGGTGGAGCTTGTCATGAAATGCCCATTGAATTGGCTTCTGGGGTACTTTGTACAACCAAATGCAGTCATTATCATTAAACATAAACAACCTGTATACGTAATGATTTAGCCCCCAATATTACCTCAGCTTTTGTCCAAAGAGGCAAACATAATATTGTATGTTTGATTCAGGATCAAGCCTGCCGAACCTCAACTTCGTGCTGAAAGCTAAAACTACTAGTGGGGCAATGCGACAAATCCCTCCGAACTCAAAAAAGCTAAAAGTCTAATTGACTGTATGGCTTGGAACCGCCAAGTTAACATGTGAAACACCTGAAAAGAGCTTCCACATGCTTCACTTCAGTCGGCTGATCTGACGAACGCCCAAGCAGCTTCCCCAAGGATGGTCCTTCCAATGGATGCTTCCTGAACCGGGGAAAGGCCCCTGCTCCTTGGCTTACCCGAAGCTCCGTCGAAGAACCATCCCTGAGCATTGTTGGACTCTCCTTGTTTCTCAACTGAAAAACTTCCTCCAACTGGGTGTCCCTGGAGATAAAAACCCATCAAAAGAATGGTTGACCCAAAGTTGGATGAAAATCCTGACGGCAAATAATGGCGGTTAAAGAATTGTTTTCCCAACCACCGTGTTGTTTTGCTTTCACTCGGACACCTCCCTTGGGGGAATCTAGGAAGGCCTCTCTGGCCATGCAGAAATATCAATTCCTCTCAATTCGCCAAGCCCGTGGCCTGCGACGGCCGATGGATGTTTTTTCTCGAAAAGTCCTAAAACCAAAAGTAGGTCCTCCAGATTTGAGAGGTTAGAATAAGGGTACCTTTTTTTTCCGTTTTGTATTTTTTTACAAGGGGCACCCTCCCCCCAAAAAAGAAACGGCAAAAGTTGGCACTACTGGGGGACCTAGACAAACAGGTGCACCTCAAAAGAGCCCTAGCCCCACAAAGGCTTGGCCTGGGCCCTATTGATATTGGCGGGGGGGGGTTGACAACCATACCGAAGACACAAAGCCAACCAACGGAATGATCTCAAGCTGGATCTTTCCGAAGGCTTCTGGCTATGAAGGTACACCCTGGACGCCTGGTTGATCCCAAATCCCCTGGTTCTTTGAGGGGGGTGTTGATTTTGGGGATCCGGCTCACCGAAACACCAAAAAAACTCCACCAGCATGATTCATCTGTCGACAGTTTGGCGTGACTCAAAAAGTGAATCCTCACCAGTTGCCATTTCGTAGTTGGAAAATGTTGGAAATTGAACAGCGGAAAATGCTCTCAACATGGAAGTGCGCAGACCAGCCCCCCCCCCCCCCCCGCTTTGAAAGCAAACCAGTCTTCCAAAAGGAGTCTGTGCACCAAGCCACACTTGTTAGTGGAAGGGCGTTAACTAAACCAGTCAAATGGACGTCGCATCTAAGTTGCTAAGAGCAAACACTTTATTGCCGTCATTGCGATTCTATTGTGAGGTCACAATCAAAACCTGGTATCAAATGGGGGGTTGTCCCCTGATTGTGACTCCTGTGTACTGTCAGTAGCTCCATCCTTATCATCAGAACAATAAACTCATGATTATCATGATGCCTTTCACATGTAGCCCTCAAAGGAGCTGAGTGCGCAGCGCATATGGGCTAGCATATCGCAGGGATCTGCATTCGAAGAACTCGCAGCACGGCTTCCGCAAGGACATGGTCATTCTTGTGGGAGCCTGTTGGAGTCAGTGGGCGAGATATCAGCCAACCCCTTGCTACAAGCCTAAAGGCTTCTGAGGCGAAACCATGCAGACAGGTGATGATACATTTGCCACACACAGGCACATGGGGTACGGCAATCTTAAGAACCGCTGCCATGTGACACACGTTGCGAAAGCTATCATGTTGTCAAGGAGGGTGGGGAAAGCTTCACATTCCAATCAGGCCCTGTTCCGCCCTCCTGCCAAGAAGCCGTGGCTCGGTTTCGATCCTCTCCGCCAGGTCTTAGTCGATTCCTTACTGGTAAACTTCTCTCACCAGCTTCGCCGGCTTCAGCACTCCAACCGCCTTGGTGACCATGGACTGCAGGCCCAGCTTTGCGCTCGGCCCCGCTTGCTCGGCCACTGTGCGGCTCCCAAAACTCGCTGCCCAACCTCTTCCGTGGCCACTTCCCATGCCAGCTGTGCCAATCGGCGTGGAGCTGCCCTGCGCCCCCTTCCTTTGTCCGCTGCACGCTTGCCCCCGCATCCCCGACATCAGGAAATTGCAACATATTTGGCCGGTGCTCCTGCAAAGATGGTTCCGACGGCCCAGACAAATGTTTTTGTTTTTTTGCCGCAGGCTTCGTTCACAAGGGGCGCGTCTAACTTGAAGTTGGGAGGTAAGGGCGTTGGCACGTGCTGTCAAAGTGGGTGTGGGAAGATGTTTGGTTTTTCGCGGAAACCGGCATTTAGCCTACTCCTAGAATACAGCATATGTTTGAATGAGAACCGGCTCAAAACTGGAATATGCCCCGAAATGGTGAGTGCCATTTTGGCTTCCCTTGAAAATCCAAGCAAAAGGGGTCCACCAATTGTGCTGTGTGTTTTTGCTTAATGTGTCAACAGAACGGATTCCTCCAATTGTTTTCAACTACAAATTACCCCTGATTGATATCTCCATTTGGGGTGTCAGTTGCGGAGTGTGGTAATGTATCCTTTGGTAGTTGTTTTAAAGGGAAACCAAAAAAACATCGCACCACTTGAGGGGGGCAGCTCCTGTTCGGGGCCAGGGCGGTGCGTGGGGAAGATAGTTGGGCGAGAGCTGACGGGTGTTTCTTGCGCAGAACCCAGTATGCCACACAATCACATGGCCATGGATCAAAAGCCCTTACCCCCAAGTGAACATCCCAATCCACACTAAAATAGGTTCTAAAATGGGTGGTGCACCTATCCCAAAATGGTACCATTGGTTTTGACCCACAGCCACATAGTTCTGCCTTGGAGGTTCAACATAACGCTTATCACCCGAGGTGCCCTCGTGTCCTCGCAGCGCTCGTGCGGAGAATTCGCGCCTGAACATCGAAGAACTCCTGGCATCGCCAGTCGTGAGAAACGCAGATCTGTGTTTCTGTTGAGGGTTTGTACCCTTCTCACGTCGGGTTAAAGGGAACAACAAGGACAACCAGTTTCGGGCCGCCTATGTTGTATCACGTACTGTTTTCGCTTAGCTCAGTGCAACCAGTGACCTCATACAATACTAATTGAAACCCTTAATCAATTGATTCTTTGGTTGCCCTCCCACCACAAGCATGGCTTGGTGCAAGTCCACAGCTATGCTTGTGGTAGGAGCCAATCAGCGATCCTGGTAGAAAAGGAGAACCTTTTTCTTTTCTTTTTCAGGGTTCCAAGTTTAGTGGGGAGCCCACCAAACAACAACCTCAGATTTCCGAAAGAACCCAGAAATAAACGCTAAACCTTTTGGGGCCTCGACCAACAGTAGCTGCCAACATAGGAAAACCGACAGGTCATTTCAGGTCGATTTGCTTTGGGCAATCGAGATAAACAAAGGCTGCAACTGAACAACTGGAAGTTGAACTGAAGGATGTGACTCCTTGTGACTCCTTAGCTCCTTAGCTCCCTCTTTAAACGCACATTTGGATACCCCCAGCTCCCTAAGGGCTCCCTTCCAGCCACCGGCTATAGACAACTGCAACGTGGAGGAAGCTCTTCAGGTCGTTGGCTTGTGAAAAACGTTCCATATCCGGCCTGCAGATCAAAATGGAACCTATCACCAATACGGCTTTTCGAGGAATCTCCTTTTGCTCAGACGCCCAGTTGCCATGAGAACAAAAAGGGCACCCTTTTTTTGTTGCTTGAGTTTAGAGGGGAACCCTTACCCAAAGAAAAGGGAAAAAGGGCACCACTAGGCAACTGTGTTTGGGGAAGGGGCTCCTTTGGGAATTCTGTTCCGCGGGTATTCCGCAGGTGAGTGTTGCAACACAACGTCAACTCCTGAAGACTTCCGGGGCCAACTGCGGCCTGCTGCAGCAAGTTCACTGGGCGCTGCTGTCCTGCTGTTGACCCTGATCTGCCGGAGGCAGGATCGCACCCTTCCCCTAGGGTTCACACCACCATTAAAACAATGGGGCTTCGAACAACCAACATTGTTTACCTAAGGATTGTCATCATCCAAATTGGGTCCTTGCCATTCTTTTATTGGGAGGGTGAACCCTAGGGCTTCAAAGAAGATCGCGTACATCTTGGCGGAGACTCGTTCTCCGCATGAGGCCCAAGCGCGCGGTTGCGCTGAACTTCTGGGCCAACCTCTGCATCGCTCAAGACCCCCACGTCACGGAAAAGCATCTGGACTTCGCGCCAGGGCCACAGAAATTGTCGCCAACAACCACGCCTCACTAAGCCGTGGAGCATGCTCTGGCCGCTCACGCATCTCTTCGTCCAGAAAAGTGCTCACGGACTCCGACCGATACTTCTTCCTCACGTGCTTGCTTGCTGACTAGTCTATGGAGCAGTGGCCATTGCAACTTCTGACACACCAAGCAAGGCCTCCTACTACTTAGTCCCAACATCCACTACCCCCAAAATGGGCGGTTTCCTACACCCTAAGCCCATGCCTGGCCTCATTTCGCCTCAAACCAGCCCCAACCAAGATGTTCTTAGGGCGCTTCCCCCAAACGTGATACGGATTTTCGCCTAGAAATGGGAAACCCGCCAAATGAAAATCAAATGGGGGCTCATGAATCCTGGGTCGAAATACTAGGTCCTAGTTGTTAATTGCTGGGGCAAGTCGGGTTCGTTTCCGTGGAGGCAGCGTTTGCAACATGGCGGAAAGAAATCAGACCCCCCAGTACTCAGTGGCCTGGGATCAACCAAAGTTGAGCAAAGGATACACCCACTTGGTCCGGGCAAATGGGTGTAGATGCTAACAGGGGACCGGTTGGTGAACATCATGTACCTTGGGTATTCAATTTATGTCCACCAAAGACTTCTAAGGCGATTCCGGTTGATAATGCATAGCCACATGTATATGGGTTTGTCCCTTCTTAAGGGCCCTCCAAGAGAAAATGAGTAATTAGTTTCCCCTTGACCCTTTGGTTCCTGACCTAAAACAATATTTCCCACGTTGTTTTTGCCACACTTAGTTTCCCTGGTTTCCCTTTGGTTCCCCAACCAAAAAACCCATCGCCACGTTGTTTTTTGGCCGCACTCAAGTTCCCTCTGGCGTCCTCGCCCTCCTCCGCCTCCTGGCAAACTCGAGCGGTCCAAGGGCGTGGGTTTTTGCAGGCGACTGTGCGGCCCGTTTCAGCTCGGTTTGGGAAACCTCCATTTGCTTAAGGCCCCGGGAAAAAAAACACAGATTTCCAGTATTGAACATATTCTTAAGCAAATGGAAGAAAACCCAGGATTCAAAATCCAAAATGCCATGTTGACACACCCTGATGAAGTGTTTCCATGGCTTGACACCCTCAAACCACCGAGTGGTCCGAATTCCTGTTTTATGACACACCCTTACGGATCCCAGTTGGGTAGGCAATCAGCCGTTTGTCTTTTCTGGTGTTCGAAGGGTGGTGACCTTGTCTACCTGCACTGGAAAATGGAATCGCTTGGCACGCTTTGTGGGATACACGGGTATTGTTTCCAGCGGTTCCGTTGTGTTCGGTCAACAGGTGTACACCGAATAACAAGACAGTCTGAAGCCGCAACCATCTCAAACGCGATCGGTATTGATTGTCCCGAGTTCTTTGACGAGCGTGCCCCATGTTATTCCCACAATACAGTCAATAACACTCAACATATTACAAGGGTCAAAATAATTAGAATGGGGGGGGTACTTTAAAACCGTGTTTGGTCATGAATATGATAGTATTTAAAAATCATGTGGACCCCTCACATTAGACTGCTGTTCTGCTGCTCATGTCAGCACTTGGTACATTTCGTCGCAACCTGATTGCGCAATTCCCCAGCTTGGCCCAGGTGCAACCAAAACAAGTGTAGCCAAAAACGAGCTCGGCTACAGTTTGTTCAACCCAATATTGTGGTTGAAACTGCAATCCCCTGGCTTTGGACCTTCATTTTTCTCAAGAGCAATCTGGACTAAGGATCCACAATGGGCCCTGACTGAACTCTGGTACATGACAGCAGCCGTTGCTCCCCGCCAGCCTCAAAGCTGTCTGTATCCTCGAGCGAAGGGTCAACCTTGGTCATTCGTGCCGCTGTTGCACCCCTTGTTGGCTTAGATTGGGTGGTTTGGAGGGTTTCCCTGTACCCTTTACAAGATGCAGGGACAACAATCCAAACCACCAATCAAGGGCTTCCTGATTGTATACCCCTGATACAACCAAAGTTTGAAGCCCCCCATTTTGTGCTTGGCGCACGTACCTAGGGGCAAATAGTTATAGGGAAAACATAAAAATGTGGGGCGCTTGGTGCAAAACGGGTGGTTTCCCTTTGGCTTCCCTTTCCAATAACTCGGCAAAGGGCCGTTCCAACTCCAAATAAAAAAACACCCTAATTGAGCAGCGCCCAAAACCTGTCGACTTTGGGCGTTTTTCGCCCCACAAATCAAATTGGAAACATTGAAATGGCCCACGGGGTTTGTCTGCAGAGCTTGAATTTGTCCCCTGACAGTAGATCTGAAGGCCCTTCCCGCCACCAAACAGCGTCTGGATTTGCATGCTGGTTTACTGTTTTATGTCCAGTGGCAAAGGAACAAATGAGCCGTGAAACATGCAGCCGGAAAAAGAAGGGGTTTTAAACCACCGAGCTTCCCTTCAATGTAGACTTGATTCAGCCGCCAAAGAAATCAACATTGATCCTGCCCGGATCCTTGCTAGGTGGCCTCTCTGAAATTGACCTCCAGTGTTTACAGCAACTCCACAATCTAAAATAAGAAACCTCCAGGTACATACATCATAGTGCGTTTTGCCCTTTGGTGAGCTCGCCATAACACAGGAACATTGGTGTCAACACGCCAGCTATGTATCTTGCCAAGTGCGCCTCCATCACACCGGCCGCCACCAAGTCTTGCGGGTCCTCGCAGAGATTCCAGGGCAATGCGTCAAACATAAATACGCAAGTTGTTGGCGTCCAGAGTTCTAGGCTGAAAAAAATGGCTATTGGATCGAATTTGACATGAGGAATCTGGCGAAGAATGATACTTTCGCCAACCCAAACTAAGGAGAACCCCCAAAGGAACGTGCGTCATCAGCTTGTCCTCCAAACCTTACGCAGGTTCATGTTCCCAGGTGCGAGTAAAAAGGACCACCTTGAGGCCAAGCCAACACAGGTCCATTCCCACTTCAATAGAGCCCTGCCGGACGAGAGTGAAACATGGC